AGATTTGTTGGGCTTTTTTCTTCCTTGTTCTTCTATGTGAGGCCAGTGAAGCTATTGAGCTGTTAGTAATCATAAATCTGTCCTCAACTAAATCACTAGTCTCAAAAGGCTTGTTCTGGTAGCGATGTAACAACTGTGTGGCTGACATGTGGCCATGACAAAGAAAAGTGGTGAAGTAGTCTGGGAGAAACTTCTTCTTAAGAAATTTTAGCTACTTATTAATCAATCTGTGCTGCTTTCTTAGTTTTTTGCCTCTTAGAGCTCCCCAAATCATTTGACATAATTTTTTAAGAGCAATATGTGCTTAACTGTGGAAACAGTAAGGTGCTTTAAAAAAACAAACAATCAAACAACAAAACTGCTGAATTGTAAATGGAGGACAAAAATCTGCACAAAGTCCTGGCATGCTAAGATAGAGACACTATTCACTGAGACACTGAAAGTGCTGTGTACCAACCAAACTGTTGAAGTGAAAGCAAGTCTATGTAGTCCAATATACTTTTAGCGGACTTCCACTGATAGGCCAGGCTCTGGCATGGTGAAAGAGACTCAAAACTTTCAAAAGTGTTTGTGTACTCAAGGATACAAAAGCTGTGATATTCCTCAGATATTTACGAAAGCTATATGAGCGATTCTGGCCAACTCAAATATATTTTATCTTTATGCATGTTCCTTTATGCTCTAGGTGAACTTGCTTTGGCGGGGGGTTGGACTAGATGATCTCCAGAGGCCCCTTCCAACCCAGACCATTCTGTGATTCTGTGATGTTCTGCCACACACTATCAAAAACATATACCCTCCTTTTTCAGAACTTTAACCAAAATATATTATGAGAAAGAAAAAATGTCTTATGAAAATGGTATTCTCCTAAATCTTATTTATTAATCATAGGAAAAAAAATATCTGTAGTACACATTCTTCTGTAGTTCCTGTGAATCCAACAAGCATATATAAAAAATAACAGTAAAACTGGGTAAAACAGATTTTAACTGGTGCTTTACTGATCTTCCCTAGACCATGGATATTGGATAACTAGCTCATGGTGGAGTCTGTGCTAGTGCTTTTTCACTGTGAAAGCAAGAAATGTACCTGCAGTACAATCGTACTCTTATTTTGCTACCAGAGGGAATATTTCTTTCCTTGTGTCCTGACACAAAATTGAAGTTTTTGGTATAAGATGGGTTATCAGAACACTGTCTGAGAATTTAGAACTCCCTTCCAAATTCTTTTGTTTTGAAATAGCCCAAATAGGTGGCTTCATGGCAAGATACTTTCTGTTAATATCTGTGGAGAGAATTATAATGTGTTTCTTGTTATTCAGATTTAACAGGATGTTTAGGCTAGAATGGACATTCCTGTAAGAGACCCACAGATTTATCAGATGCTGTCTGCTTGAATTGGAAGTAAGACACTGTAAAATGCTGAATCTGTAAATACAATGTAAGTATTTAACTTTTTAATAGCCCAAATAAGAAACTGGGACTCTAACTATCCAATGGTAATTAGGGTTATAAAGAGGAGGTGATCATTGACAAAAGTATTTGTGGAGAAATATCTTGTGTCTAAATTTAATTATATAGTGGTATCTTTAGCCAATAAAAAATTCGAAGTTACAGAATGAGGATAATTTATATCCTTCCAAAGCAGAAGCAAAGACAATATACCTTAATTTGAAGGAAATTTCCTACTTAGCAACATACAGTTACTAGCATGTAACAGCATAATTCCTGTTCTAGGTGTTAGAGGGCAATGCTACTTACTCAAACATTAGTTCATTAAGTCATTGCCATGGCATTCAAAGAGTCTCATCTAAAAGGTGCTAATATATATGGAAAGTGCTAATACACAAACAAGAACAAACATTTAATTTAGGGGTTTTTATTCAGTTATAGAACACCAGTTGGCTGGAATTTCAGTACTATGATAATGGGAAACATTTCAAAGCTAACTTCTCTTAATTTCTCTGCCTAACGATCTTTTCTGTCTCCTCTGTTTCCTTTCCTCTCCCCAATATACTTTGTCTCCCATTTAAAGCAGCCATCTGCTAAAATTAGTGATTATATTACTTAATTATGCAGCATTTGAATGTATTTTTATTGTTATTGTTATACTGTCTTTCATGAAATATTATGTTTGTAGCTAATGGCATCTTTTTCTTATGTGTCAACAGCTCATTGTGTCAGATTTATTGTGCAATAACTCAGTATCTTACTAATAATGTATCTCTACTACTAAGATTAATAATTCTCACAGAAAACTGTTCATAGAAACAGAAAAAATGACAGTATTCATAATAGCAAACTCCTAGTTATAGAAGCATCCTAATTATATTTAGTTTCATTAAGGAACCATGAATAAATTACATGTTCAGGGTGTATCTGAGTTCAAGTATGTCATGAAATTGATTTTAGATTCCAGCATGGTGTGCTTAGCACTTACAAAGTTCGTGCACAGAACTATTCCTGTGAAAGCAGCAGTAAGAAAACAAAAATGTTTTTGTGGGAGTTCACCTGCAAATTTGTTCATCTGCAACATAAATAGGTCCTCTGATAAAAGTCCCTTTCTTCACTAAATAGATAATACCTATGTCTCATATGCAGTTATGTGTCTCTTTCCCCTACATATTCAAGCATTTCTAAAATTTTTGATGCATTTAAAAGCACAGCACATCAGTGTAGTGGGGAAGTACTGTCATTTTTTTCTTCTTCTTTTTTTTTTTTTTTTTAATAGGTAGGAAAGAAAGCTTGTAGAAGTGAAGGATTCCTGAGTTACAGCCCTGGGCTACAGCCCTGAGTCTTAGGTGCCAGCATGCAGGATGGAAACCTGAAGCGTGTGTTATCATAGAGATAGATGTCTCAGCATGGATTTCACAAGAAGCAAGAGCCAGCTGGTATCTGAAGATTCCCTAAGCAGTCATTGTTCAGCTGCCTGTAGTTAGTTAACACAAAAATTCTGAAGATTTTTCAGAATTCATCTTAAATTTTTCGTCTCATCTCTCATGCCTCACTAGACACCATGGGGATGTATCTGCCATGTGGGATGGATGGCCTAGGAGTTGTCTGCTGTTTTAATTTCTTCCAAAGAACACACCTGGGCTCATCCTTCTTCAAATATGACAAGGGAAATTTTCCCTTCCTTTTTTTTTTAACAGAGTATTGGTCAGAGACTTGGCCAGACAGTAGGAGATCCAGGTTTAATTTCCTGCCTGCCTAAGGAACTTCAAACACATTCTGTTATTTCCCAGGAAAGACACTTACCTTACAAACTGTTCAGCCCTGCTGAGGCTGTGTAACTAGTCAGAAGAGAATGAAAAATTAATTAGGCCAGAGGGAGAGAAAAATGTTCATGATGCTCTGGAGTGCTGGTTTGGGCACGCAAAATGAATCCATGGGATAAATGTGAAGCAAGACTCACATGCAGCTTTCTATTGTGTGAAATAACCATACTATATGCAACCAGAAATCACATACTGCTCAAGATTTGAGCTGGTGACAGAACTTTATTGCTATACAAGAAGATATATGCTAACATTTTTCCTGCCTTTTAACAGACTGTTTCATCTGTGCTGTTCTAAACTCTCCTCTTCATGTCTGCTCCCCACTATATTCCAGTAAAGCACAGAGTTTTCATAGGTAAAGATGGCCAGAGAAAAAAAATAAGTTCTCTCCCACTCCTGCATTACCAGTTCCCAAATTTGCCTTTCTGGATGGGTGGCGAGGTATCCACTTACCATTATGATGTTCTGCAGAAAATTACCCACTCCAAAGTAGTTTAAAAAGTTACAAAGGGTCTATAAAGATTAAAGTAGTGGAACTGAAATACAGGCATGCTTAATCTACTTACAGTAAGATCAAATCCAAATCATGTCTCTCTGCTTTTCTGTCCAGATAACAGGCTTATTTTCCAACATGGACAGAGACTCAGTACTGTACTCAACCTCTGCAGGAGAGAATCCTGGATTAGAGAGGGATGTTAGCTTTTATATCCAGTCTTTTTCTTGGATTATATGCAGTTCAATTCTAGCTTTCTACATAGATTATTGATTCCTGAGGTGGCGCCAATGCTCTCACTCCCCCATTACGATCCACCCTCTCCTCTTTAAATGTTAGTATTACTATGGCAGGCCAGGTGCTCTCTCCTCCTCTGCTGTTCTGACAACAGTTCTTGCTAAGTGTTGAAAAGTTTTCACACCTGCCTCTGCCAATTCAGTCAGCATGTAAATCTCAGAATGAAGCTGTTCTATGCAAATAGATAGACTTTTTTTTTTTTAAATCATGAAAATCATTACTCATTATTTATACAAATCTGTGTATGGAATGAATACATGCAGCTCATTACTAGCTATTGTTTGGAACTGGAAAGGATATTAACTGATTTGGCTGCATATGGTGTTTGGGACTGACTTCTAGTACATCTTTCAGGTATACTGCAGCAGTGAATTTACCTTCTGGAATTGGAAGAAAAAAACCCCAAAAGAATGTAAATTTTAATTTTTTTTTTCCTTTAGAAAATCGAAGTCTAAAAGATTTTTAGACTTCGATCTTTTGAAAACATTTTTAGTTCAGTGACAGCTAAACCCTGAAATCAAACGTTTGGGTTTTTTTCCCTCAAAAATTAGAATCATAGAATATCTCAAGTAGGAAGGGACCCATCGAGTCCAACTCCCTGCTCCTCACAGGACTGACTAAAACTGAACCATATGACTAAGAGCAGCATCCAGATGCTTCTTGAACTCTTGACAGGCTTAGTGCCTTGACTGCTTTGTTGGGGAGCCTGTTCCAGTGACCGACCACCCTCTCAGTGAAGAACCTCTTCCTAATGTCCAATCTGAACTTCCTCTGACACAGCTTCATTCCATTTCCTCATGTCCTATCGCTGGTCACCAGAGAAAGGAGTTCAGCACCTCTCTCTCCACTGCCCTCCTTGAGGAAGCTGTAGGCTGCGATGAGGTCACCCCTCAGCCTTCTTTTCTCCAAGATGAACAAACCAAGTGACCTCAGCTACTCCTCATAAGTATGTCCCTCGAGACCTCTCACCATCTTTGTTGCCCTCCTCTGGACATACTCTAATAGTCTGATGTCCTTCTTATATTGAGGTGCCCAAAGCTTCACACAGTCCTCGAGGTGGGACTGCACCAGTGCAGTGTAGAGTGGGACAGTCACCTCCCTCAACAGGCTAGCTATGCTGTGCTTGATGAACTCCAGGACACAGTTGGCCCTTTTGGCTGCCAAGGCACACTCTTGACTCATATTCAACTTGCCATCAACCCAAACCCACAGATCTCTCTCCATGGGGCTACTCTCCAGCCTCTTGTTGCCCAGTTGGTATGTATAAGCAGGATTATCCCATCCTAGGTGGACAATCCAGCACTTGCTCTTTTTAAATTTAATATGGTTGGTAATTGTCCAGCTCTCTAGTCTATCCAGATCTCTCAGTAAGGCCTCTCTGGCTTCAAGGGAGTCCACAGCTCCTCCTAGTTTAGTATCATCAGCAAACTTACTTAATGTACATTCAATTCCTATGTCCAGATCATTTATAAAAACATTAAAGAGCACTGGTCCTAAAATTGAACTCGGGAGAACCGCACTGGTAACTGGCAACCAGCTGGATGTAACCCCATTTACTGTAACTCTTTGAACCTGATCCGTCAGCCAATTGCTCACCAAACCTATTATGGACTTGTCTAGTTCTATGCTGGACCTTTTGTCCAGAAGGATACTGTGAGAGACAGTATCAAAAGCTTTGTTAAAATCCGAAACCACCACATCTACTGGCTTCCCTTGGTCAACTAGATCGGTGACAATGTCATAAAAGGTAATTAAGTTGGTTAAGCAGGACTTACCCCTCATGAACATGTTCTGGCTATGACCAGTGAATGCATTGACTGTCAAGGCGTTCTCAGTAACTCCCAGAATAACCTTCTCCATAATTTTACCAGGCACTGAAGTGAGACTGACGGGCCTGTAATTACCAGAGTGTTCCTCCTTACCCTGCTTCAAAACTGGGGCAACATTTGCCAGCTTCCAGTCAACTCGAACCTCTGCAGATTCCCAAGACCATTGAAAAATAATGGAGAGGTCCTGCGATGACATCAACCAGCTCTTTCAGTACCCTGGAATGAATCTCATCAGGCCCTATAGACTTATGTGCATCCAGCTGGAGCAGCAAGTCTTGAACAAGTTCAGAGTCGGTTGTGAGCTTATCGTCCCTCCAGCCACAGTCTTCCAACACAGGCCTCCAGGGGTCTCAGGGCTATCATCAGTATTAAAGACAGAGGTGAAGAAGGCATTAAACATGTCTCTTTTGTCTATGTCCCTATTTGTGAGGTGACTGACCTCGTCAAGCAACGGACCAATGTCATCTCTGATCCTTCTTTTGCTATTAACATGTTTTAAAAAGACTTTTTTTGTTGTCCTTCACAGTGCCGGCCAGCTTGAACTCTAGTTGAGCTTTGGCCACACGAATTTTCTCCCTACACTGGCAAATAGCATCTCTGTAGTCCTCCCATGTTGCCTGTCCTTGTTTCCAATGTCTGTACACTTTCCTTTTCTAAGTTCTAGAGTAAGATCCCTGCTCATCCAAGATGGCCTTCTGCACTGCTTGCTTGACTTCTGACGCTTTGGAAATGCGTGCTTCTGTACTTTTAAGAGATAGCTCTTAAAAAGTGGCCAGGATTCATGGACCCCAATACCTTCAAAAGCAGATTCCTAGGGGACCTTGCTAACTAGCTCATTCAGCAGCCCAAAGTCTGCTGTCCCCAGTTTTTCTCCTATTGCCAATGATTTGAAACTCAACTACTTTGTGTTCACTGTGACCAAGACAGCCATCAATCACCCACAAGACCCTCTCTGTTTACAAACAACAAATCTAGAAGGGCACCTTTTCTAGTCAGCTCCCTTAGTACCTGCACCAAGAAGTTATCTTCAATGTGCTGCAGAAATTTCCTGGACCTGTTTATGTCTACTGTATGATATTCCCAGTCAATGTCTGGGAAGTCAAAATGTATGATATTCCCAGTCAATGTCTGGGAAGTTAAAATCACCCATAAGGACAAGGGCAGCTGATCTAGAGATATCCCTTAACTCCTTGTAGAATAATTCATCAGTGTCATCATCCTGGCTGGGTGGTCGATAGTAGATTCCCACAACATCTGCTTTATTTGCTTTGCCCTTCATGCTTACCCAGAGGCTCTCAACTGTGTTGCCACCAACTGCAAGGGCCATACAATCCAACCCCTCCCTTACATACAGTGCCATCCCCGCTCCTCGCATGCCCTGCCTATCCCTCCTGAAGAGCTTATAACTGTCCATCATGGCAGACCAGTCACAAGACTCATCCCACCAGATTTTGCTTATGGCTGATGATGCCATAGTTCTGGGACTGGGCCAAAGCTTCTAGCTCTTCTTGTTTATTCCTCATGCTGTGCACATTAGTATAGAGACATTTCAAATATGCTTCAGTGTACTCAGCCCATTGTGGAGCAGACTGAAGGACCTCACTAGTGCACCATCCCTCAAATATTGATGTGCTGCCCCGTGGCTTATCTCTTGTGAGCCTGATTTTATCCCTTTCCCCCTTCTAATCTAGTTTAAAGCTCTTTCACTGAGCCCTTCTGAATCTTGACCGAAGATCCTTTTTCCCGTTTGAGAAAAGTGCGCTCTGACTGTTGCCCACAGGCTTGTTGTTGTGTAGACTGACCCGTGATCAAAAAACCCAAAATTCTGCTGGTGACACCAGTGATGGAGCCAGGTATCGATCAGCTAGGTCTACTGTTTCTTCCAACATCATTCCCTGAAAATGGAAGAACAGGGAACACTGCTTGTGCTCCTGATCCCTTCACTAGTCGTCCCAAGGCCCTGAAGTATCTCTTGGATTTTGCTTATGGCTGATGATGCCATAGTTCTGGGACTGGGCCAAAGCTTCTAGCTCTTCTTGTTTATTCCTCATGCTGTGCACATTAGTATAGAGACATTTCAAATATGCTTCAGTGTACTCAGCCCATTGTGGAGCAGACTGAAGGACCTCACTAGTGCACCATCCCTCAAATATTGATGTGCTGCCCCGTGGCTTATCTCTTGTGAGCCTGGTTTTATCCCTTTCCCCCTTCTAATCTAGTTTAAAGCTCTTTCACTGAGCCCTTCTGAATCTTGACCGAAGATCCTTTTTCCCGTTTGAGAAAAGTGCGCTCTGACTGTTGCCCACAGGCTTGTTGTTGTGTAGACTGACCCGTGATCAAAAAACCCAAAATTCTGCTGGTGACACCAGTGATGGAGCCAGGTATCGATCAGCTAGGTCTACTGTTTCTTCCAACATCATTCCCTGAAAATGGAAGAACAGGGAACACTGCTTGTGCTCCTGATCCCTTCACTAGTCGTCCCAAGGCCCTCAAGTATCTCTTGATTGCCCTTGGACTTCTTATTGCAACTTCATTTCTGCCTACATGGAAAAGTAATAATGGATCATAGTCTGAGGGCTGCACCAGGGTAGGAAGTTCTCTTGTCACATCTTTAACCTGGGCCCCAGGGAGGCAGCACACTTCCCTGAGAAATGGGTCTGGTCTGCACACTGGACCTTCTGTTCCCCTCAGAAGAGAGTCTCCTATGACTATGAGCCATCTTTTTTTCTTTATGGAAGTGGTTTTGATGTGGGTCATAGGCTGACTTAGCCTTGGTTACACCTCCAATCTAGATGAACCATCGTCCTCATCATTGTTTAATTCCATTTGCAGAGCCTCATACCTATTACGAAGGGCATCTGGGAAGGTGGGGTAGTCACGGAAGAGATGTACCTGCTGCACCAGGTTGCCATTCCCCCTGTCCCTTAAGTTACCGTGTTCTGCCAGGAGGAGATAGGATAGGGAATCCTCCATATCATGTGTCCTGTCTGCCTTTTGGGCCTGTCCTAGGGAAGGTAAGGTGCAGTTCCAGTAGTCTCTCTCTCTCTGAGAGTCCCTGATACTCCTTAATTTACCTCCTCCCGGAGTTCCTCTACCTGGGTGGACCTCCCACCGGTGCGTTCACTGCTGCCATCTGGTACAGGAGTAAGAGCAGGGCAGCCCCTGCAGCCTGGCACCTGGGTGGGAGCCTGTTCCCATCAGAGCTCTGTCTGAGCAGATGTGTCAGTTGCAGCAGGTAAAGATTTTAGAGAGGCCATGGCTTTCTTACAGGTAGATATCATTGTTCCCTGGTTGAGCTGGCAGAGTTACAGTGCCCTTCCTGCACCCCCTTCCATGCAAACTGCTGCATCATGCTCTGGTCACTGGCACTCCTCAGGTTTTTCTTTTTGTGGGGGGGCTTGTGCTTGGCCGCCATTGCTCCTGGCCTCGCCCAGGTCCCATCAACCACTGTCGTGTGAACTGCGGGCTCCTGGCGGGTCTCTCCTCTCCCCTGAGGTTTCCCCGGTTTGGGAACCTGCCCTGTGCACCGCACTAGAGTGCTCCGCTGTGCATCATGCTGGCACCAGAGCTGCTCGCCTCAGTGACTGAGATGTATAGTACAAAACAAGTGTTTATTCAGAGCTATATACTACTTTTCTGAGGTGGGAAAACTCACCAGAATTTGACACTTTCCTTTGAATGGTACTGACTTTGGTAAATTGACACTTTGGGTAAGTGTTCCATTGGCAAATTTCTAACCAGCTCTATCAATAGCTAAACCTATACATCATAGATTATTAATTTGTATTTCTAATTTTTAAAATTATTTCTGTTATCAGAACTTACAGGAGCTGAGGTCCTGGACTGCAGAATCTCAGGTGTTATATCAGCAAAGATAATTCGTATAGTCATTTTGCCATCTAAATGTAGGTGGCTGAAGTACAGACCTATACAGATCACACAGGAATGACAAAGGATTAAAAAAAAAAAGAAAAGTGGTTTTGGTTGGCTTCCATGTGATTTGAGAAACTATGGAGGTAACACCACATTGTAAATGCAACTGCTGAAGATGCTTATGGAAAAGCAGCCTGCTTGCTGTTCATCCTGTAGCAAGGCTAAAATCTACAGGTTGTGGCTCAGATGATTTAACCGTTCTCCCTTGTGGAAGGCAACAGTGCCATTTCTGCCGTCTCCTTCAGCCCTGACAGACATGTCCTTCAGACATGAGTCTGTCTTCCTCTTTTGGACTGATGTCTACCACAATCTTCACTGAACTGTTCAGTTCACTCATCTGATGAAGACCTGCTCTCTGTTGCCAGGTTGCTTTTCTGTCACTTCAGGAAGCTGAAGCAGGTCAGTGCAAGAGAGGGAAGGGCAACGTACACCTGTGATCAGGAAGGAAGTGAAGGCAACGAAACCAGCACATCTACCTTTTTAGAGTGAAAAATCAACTTAGATGAAGCTGTAATTCCTAACATCACGATTTGTTCCTGTTCCCACTGAACTTCTCTCATCTCTTTAAGCCTAACCTAACCATTTTTAATGGGGCTATTGGTGGACATCAAAGAAAATGAAAGTTCTAAGGAGTATTTTCATTTTCCTGTTAGAACAAGAAGAAAATAATTTTTTTTTAGTGAGATTTCATATCAGTAAACCACAAAACAATCTTAATGTAGCTTGCCTTTAGTAGTAAAGCCAGCTTTCCCCAAGCATTTCAGAAGAAACAGAAGTGTAGGGGAATATGATATTTGAAGGTAAATGAACTTCTATGTTGTGAAGACTCCTTACAGCTTCACAAAGTACCGATCAATCACAATAGTGTGCACAGGACATACATGGAGCAAGTATATTATTAATGCCTAAACTATTGCTGTGACCTACATCTTTGTTCTTCTCCAGCTTTTCATAATCTTTTTCTCTGTAATTGAAGAATCACAGTACACAGTTTTCTCCTGCACAATGGCAAGGGGAAAAGTAAGTAACTATACAGAGTTACTTTTCATGCTTTGCATTTCTAGACAAAAAGTCTGGCTTCCCCATAGATACCTGCAGTTTTGTCATACCTATTACTTGTTCATGAAAGACAACTCAGCTTCATTTTGTTTTATGGGAGCGACTTCAAGCAGTTTTGATTATCTTAGAGCTGACAAAGATCATTGAAAAATATTCTTCTAACAATATTCTCTGGTGTGCTGCAATCCATGCATAACAAACACATGAATCTTATGGGACAGTCACTTTCAAACCTTACCTTTTAGTTCTAAATATCATCAAGGAAATAAAAATAAAACAAATGCAATTTTTTCAAGAAAATCAGTACTTCTATACATTTTGAAAGTGTTTTGTTATAAAACTCATCTTCATAATACTATTGGCAATTTTAAAGAGTTTTATTTCTATAGCTCCCAGACAGTATTGCTGGGTAATGAATGCCATGATTGGGAAGCAAAAATTGGCTACTGTTCCTACTGTGAGTACCCCAGAGGTTACATATAGTAAGCATCTATCCTATGGCAGCCTATTTTAAAGTCTATAAAACCAGCCCATAGCCACTCCATTGTATTTACACATGATGGAATTTTTGTGATTGTCAGCATCTCTAGTTGAACCATTATGCTTTTAACTAATGAGTATTTTTGTACACCGCATTCTGAATATCATTCTTTACCCTGCAGCAATCATTGATGATAATTATGTGGCAGTTGAAGCAAAAATGCACCTGAAATAGCCAGTTAGAATACTTTTTAAGATACCAGGAGAAAAAGAGTGTTAACTTTTTATTTCCATATCAGTCAGGCAATGCAATATAGTTTAGATTTGTTTTTCATCTTCTTCCTTATTACTCTGGAGTTGCTTTTTAAGTTGGAAGTCCAACTGTTCAGTTTTCATCTAAGTAGTCATCTTGAAATTAATTTAATGTGAAATAGGAATATAAGCACATATACAACAGGTTGAAAACCAACCAATGCTGTCTTACACTTTGATCTCAAGTTTGAAACTAGGCATTCAGATATCAGCATGAGAAATGCTTACTTTTGAAATTAAGGTGATCAACAGTGTTTAGTGTATTGAGGTGATAAGCCCCAGATTTAAATCAAGGTAATGAATGGAACAGGTGCTGACCTACATTGTAGAAGGAAGATTGAAGTGAAATATGCATAAATGAAATGTGACAACTGTTATAATACAGAGCATAACAAGCAAAAAGCAGATCTGTGGACACTGCAGTGACACCTGTTGAATCTTTTCTAATTTGATATTTTCATTAATGACCTGGAAGAGGTAATAAACAACATTTTTAGCTACTTTGTCAACTGATCTAAATACTGATAAGAGTAGAGGAGTATCCTGAAGGTAAGCTGAGAATGAACAAGAAAATAACAATGAGATGCAGCTTGAAAAAAATAAATACTGGTAGTTTTATGGTAAATAATATGAAATATTTTCCACACAGGTAAGAGTCAGGAGAATGACTGTAGAAATGATAATGAAGTTCAAGGTAGCAGTAGACACTTTGTTAAAGGAGGTTTCACATAACTGGAAA